TCATTCAGTGCGGCGTGTGAGTAGCTAGTGGCTGATGGAATGTTGAAGGTAGCCGACTGACAGTACGAGGTCCAGGTAAAAAGCCTTCCTTAAACGGTGGACTGGATGTAGTAGTTATAACCGTATCAGACTTCCTTGATCCGATCCACGAGAACCGTTTGCTCTCAACCTTTGAGTATTAGAAGCCGGGATGCCCTTGTATTCATCAAATTTCATCCCAGTCATTCCACTTTATGGAACACCATCAGTCGTGCATTGTTAGGAAATAATTCCACATTAAGACGGGAACTGAAAAGAAAACGCTGGATTAAAAAGTCACTAGTAGTAGTAGGAATTGAAGATATGCAATGACCGATTCGTTACTCTTTCCGATTTGCGCCGTCACCTGGACAATCGAAAGTGATTATTTGATGGTGGCACAATAGGTCAATTTCAATTGCGACATTTACTGAAATCAATTATGCGCCGGTGACGTTCTCCTAACCGATGAGAAAGCAATTCTATGGATAGAACTGGACACTCACCTGAGGGGATTGAAGCAAAGATCCACAGGGGGTAACCAGCGACTGTGATGGTGGATGAGAATGTGTGGTTTGGAAGAGAAATCCACCGGGCGCAGTTGATGCGTTCAGGGACGAAAGGCATGGCGATGGCTGTGCGAACGGTCCCGGGCCGGAAACGAGTGAGGTGGCCATCTGTGGAGTGGTCGAACTGACCAAATTGGTCACTCCGCCCATAGACGGCCGATAGGATGATGGTGAGACGAACAAGGGGGTCGAGATAGGCGTGTTCAAACCGCAAGAGGTGGAGAATAAGGACTGCGATTGTGAACCGGGACCAGAAGGTTGTTGTATTACGGTCGGATAGATAGTATGCGAAAGCGGGGCAGCCCCAATCGACTCGACCGGATTGAACAGGGTGATTGAATTGCTATTGGGTGGAAATGCGGTTTGTGATAAACCCAAATCCAGTAGATAATCCGTGCCATGAGTAGATTGGGGTAGTAATGTTGTGGCAAATGACTGATGGGGCTGCAAGAAGTTCAGAGTTGCGGTTCCACCCAATCCCGGAGCGTTACCCACAGTGGGTAAATTGGGCAGAAGAGGCGTTGAATTGGGAAAACCTGGGGCTCCAGTCACAGATCCGGTAGCGTGTAATACGATCCCGGGGCCACCTATTTTTTTGTTGTTGTACGACAAAAGCAAATTGTGGCGTGTGAATATGTAAATGATCAGGATCACTTCACCGATCCAACGAACAAGAATGAAGTTTAAATGTAAAAGCGGCAAAACTATTGTTGCTACGCGGCATGGATGTGTGAACTGTAAACAGAAAAAGAGATCAGTCATGCACAAACAGACGAAAATTCCTCTCTCGGATCAAGAAATGTCATGTGAATTTACTATCCT